ATATTTTAATAACTTCCTCCGGCGGACCCGCGATCCTACGGCTGAAGTGTCCGCACTCTGACGGAAGCTTATAGCAACGCTGTGACAGATTTCAATTGCGTCCCAATTCCTCAGTCATCTGGCACGATGGGGTGTGCCAAACGTACGCAATTGTTTATTTTTACGGACATCCGGGCTTTGCTGCCTCTTTTTATATACGTGGCTCGCATGTTAACACACTAGTACTGTGACATCATTTCAACGGTCATTGTTGTGACCTTGTAGCTGAAATGCTACTGGTGCTTGTTCAGGACCGTTGTAGGAATGGTGCACGGATAACAGCACATGGACAAATACATGGTCAAAAAATGCGAACAATCCACAAAGTGCCATAAATAACATGTGTAATGAATGTATAGCAAAATCAAATGTGGGAAAAAAATAAGACATACAAGCAATACAAAGCTAGTCTTTACTCGACGTCAAGGTGTTCTTTTGCGCTGTCCAGCGCAAAAGGACACCTACGTCATCGCACCACCAGCGTGGTGCGATGACGTAGAATATTCAAGTGACACGGATGGTTATGATAAACCATTTTTTATGGCAAATATCCGGCGCTTGAGACGGGTTATTACTACCGGATTCTGAGGCCTTCTCAAATTACAGATATGGACTAGCGGCCAAAACGCGTAATGCCCAAGTCCCACTAGAGCGACAAACAGAAACAACCGGCACCGACAAGCCACAAACACGTGCAGCATGCACACGAAGGTAGCTTTGAAAGGCTTTCGATCACTCCTGCTTACTTCACTAGCACAGAGACTGCAAGCCTGCCAAAGGTACTGCGCGTGCATACGGCACGTGTGCGAGGCTTGTCGGTGTCGGTTGTTTCTGTTTGTCGCTCCAGTGCAGCGCTCTCTAGGCCAACGCGCTGTTTCCGCGCGAGGTGTGGGCACTGTGCGTGCGCAAGAATGCGTCAAGGTCTGCGCGGTTACATAGTACTTTCAGGCAGCTGTGTATGAACGCCGACATAACCGATTTTCAATTTTTTGTTTCCACTTATTCCGTTCGCTTCACTTCATCATTGCCACAGAAGGACAGGTTACTGCCACTTTAGGGGCTACTGTGTCCTTCTCCCTAGCATAGGCCTTTGTGGAGTCTCGTCAACGCCCGCTTCAGTGGCTCAGCATCTCGCTAAGACAAGAGAAGGTCGGCAATGGCGGTCATAGACAGTCTCGATTTCCCGAAGTTCACGCATGCCATATTTCTGCCCTTGAAATGACTTGTCCGACTTGCAACTTTTTTTGTTTTTCTTTCTTTCTTGCGCATTCCATTTGTCTGGTTTTGGCAGCCGTTCGTGGGCAGTCAGGCGAGACTCCTCACGCCCAAGGACTTTGCGTAACGCGCCTCGAAGTTGCGCGAGGTTAGGGAACAAAAACCGGCGCGAGATGACTGCCTGCGTTTGGTTTCCGGGAAACAATTGGACGTCCGCGAACAATAGCCGGCTGGCTCAATCGTCTGCTGTCGGGGAAACGTCACTCGAACAGGAGCGACGGCATCCAGCACCGGTTTCGATGCTGCTGATAACTTCGGCATGGCTGTGTGCACGCACTCGTTCAGCTCCTGAGCTCCTGTACATACAGCTTCTCAACATACAGCTGTGAACATATATGAATGTATTTACAAGCGGCAACAGTGCATACAATTCGTGTGTTCACAAGCGTGGTCAGATAATACACTATGTTTGCGAATCACACGAAAACCACACAGATGGACGCTTTTAAGAGCTAGGAAACAGTCCAGATACATCACACATTATAGTTGTACTTAGAGCTAATAAATACTCGTACTAGCTGTTATTGGCCAGGACACACAAGACGCTCATGCCAACACCAAGGGCTATGCACTGAATCTCCTGCATCATCGAGCTCCATCGAGCTCGATCGAGCCATCGAGGACAGTGTACATAATACATAGCTTGTAAGTGTCGTCATTGGATGGGTACTGATGGTTATTTCTACTTTCTTCGACCTACAACTTCTACGGTATTAAGCTAACACGGCAAACCGAACGCTTGCGACGTATAAAATGCTAGCATGGCCGCAAATGACGTCACATGCAAGCTTGTTTCCGCTGCCCGCAATGTTCTTCGCAACCCGCTACGAGATCCGGGACTCTACAGGCAAGGCTAGCGCCGCGCATGCGCAGTAGTGGTGTCTTAGTTCCGGAGAGCATAGCGGAGGCTGGAAAACGGTCATTCCCTATGTCGAGCGCAAGTTGGTCTGCTTCTTATACGGGAATTACGGTTGTGTCAAAACGCCGAGCTCTTATTGGCTTATTTAAAAAAAAACAAAAAAAAACAAAACAAATGTGGGTACACCTTAAGCAACGAGATAGAGGGGCTTAGAGCGATAAACTGGTATCAAGTTCACCTGGCAAAAGTGACCCCCCGCTTGACTGCCGCCATGTTGTGCAATTTTGGCCACTAGACTCGTGACCGTATACCAAATCCTGAGGCTTTTACGCAAAACTAGGCCGAGATTTGTATTGCGATCGCTGTAAAAAACATGATGGACTATTTTTTTCAATACTGTTAGCCCCAAAAATTAATGTCTAGCACAGATTAAAAAAAAAAAAAAAAAAATACAGCATCGCGGTTGACGGCATAGCGGAGGCATTGCGAAGCTGCCCGAGTTTTTGTCCTAAAAGCCCATTTTGGACTTAAAACAAACGAAACATAACTTATCTCGTCGGTAATGTTATAAACGATCAATAAACAGTTATTTGTGCGCGGTACTTCGTTAAAATCTAGACACAAAACTATAAGGTCAGGTGTCTAGTGGTCAAAAATGTGCACCATGGCGGCGGCCAATTGGGGGTCACTTTCAGGTACCAGTTTATCGCTCTAAGACCCTCGTTGACCTCAAGGCATCTAGCATTGAGGTCTATCATTTCAATCAAAGTTAATCGGAGCCCGGCGTCGTCCCGCTCACGAAGCAGACGACTTGCCCTCCGCATTGAACACGAGTGCTGCGCGAGCGTTAGGCTGGGATTCGTGCTCATTCTGTGAGATCGCTAGTCGGCCAGTGAACGCTGACGCGGCACTCGTGTTCATAGTGTGCCTTGCGCTGACCTATTGTAGGCGGCGTGTGAAATCCAGGACTGCGGCATGTTGTTTAGGCAGTGGTTGTCTGTGCCCTGCGCTCGATCGAGACAGATGACGGAAGATCCAGTGCGCGGGACTTGCCGTCTATGTGGTGTTGCACTTAAACCGTCGCGTAGGAAGAGGCGAAAACCCATTATAAGTCCCTGGAAAGTTTCCCGGAGATTTCGTCGAACGCCGTTTCGTCGAACGCCGTCGATTTTTTTCGAAAGCGCGGTTCAAGGGCATCTGGAGGGAATTTAGGCTTAACTGGCCCGCGCTCATTATCTTGATATCCCCATATCCTCGAACCGCGAAAACTCAGTATTTTGATAACCCCGTATCTTCGGACCGCGAATTTTTAAAACTGTTCATTACTGCCGGCCGTTAAATCGAACGCGTTATGATTTAAAAATCCCAACGTAATTTTAAAACGTGTTTCGTTTCGAATCCTGGTAGTTTCAATTTTGTTTGTTGCTCCTTTCCGTTTTACTTTGTCGATTGTTCCGGCGTCTATCGATTTTCGTGTTTTGAAGACACAAAAGAGGAAGATGAAATGTGGAAACACAATCGAAGTGGAAAAGGAAAAAGACAGCTGGCGTGTGGGCGGCGTCAGGCCCGCACCAGGCGCTCGAGCTCTGGCATTCTGGTCGACCCGATCATGCACTTCCGGCAGCGCGGCTGGCGAGGCCCTCTTCCCTTGTTCTGCTGTCAGCCGCCAGCGATAGTTTGCGGCAGCTGCCTGGTGAGCTGGTGCCGGTTCGTTCGCGCCCGTCGCCGAGACCGAACATGCGAGGTCGCGCCACTTGTCCAGCTTAATCGCCGAGGTCCAACGCCGAGGTCCGTGGGCCTCGGCTTACCTTTTGTCGCCGTTAACTTAGCTTTAGTTTTGATTCCAACGTTGTGTGGATTCCAGGAACAGTGTTCGCAACGTCGTTTGCCGTGGGGGCAGTGTCCATAGTGATTGGTCCTGACATGTGTTACCGCGAGTTCTAGGGGGAAAAGAAGTATTTTAGTGACTTTCTTTTATAGACTCTTGTTTAATAGTATATGGTAGCTGCAGTGGATCTTACGCCGTAAAACGAGCCGGGTAAATCGGCACCTGTACGTAGAAAGATAAACTTTCTCCAAATGTGCATTGAGGTTTGCCTTGTGAAATATTAAGGCGCACTTTTTTACATCTAAAGAATGATACCAACAAAGCTGCAAAGTCAATGGCGGACATGTTCACAGCGATGCATGCAATACATGTAACTTGCGGCGCCATCTTTTGAAAATCGCAGCGAGCACATGACAAACAAATATATAAGTTACATTAGAAGAAAAATGTATGTGAGAAGATGCTGCAGGTCTAATTAGAATATAGCACCATTTATTTCCGGGCCAACAAAATCCACGGTTGCCAACTTTCGGCAAATATTGGCAGCTTGTCTTTTGTGTATTGGCGACTACAGAAAGTTTCTTGCTCGATGCAAGCTCAAGTACCCATTTTAGTTGTTAAAAAAAAAAAAAAAAACACTAATTTAATCTGTGTTAATATTTCTTTCTTTTTTTTTTCGTAACTCGATGCAAACATAAAGAGTATTGAAGTTCTGTTATGTCTTGCATAACTGGCGAAGCTTCGGTACCATAGAAATTTTGTTTATAGACATCGGTACAAAAACTAATATCGACAGAAATTTACAGAAGTCACTTTTGCACCAAGGGTTTGGGACTGTTCACGATTAATGAGCAGAGGTAATAGGCCTCTACTTTCTGAAGCATGTCTTTTATATGATAGCAAAGAGTTATCTCGAAATATTGTCAAAACTCAGAGGTCCTAGTGGTGGTGCTTGGAAGATCCTCAGCTTATTGCTGCTTCTGTTCTTTCTAATTGCAGTGTAAAGAAACCAGGATGGACGATCTTGGAGGAGTGGGAGGGGAAACGTCAGCTGGTACCGGCATGTGCCTGTCCTCAGCCAAGTCGAGCCCTGACCTGTCTGTTCCAGGGCCCATCTTCTTCTTGATCAAGGAACAAGCCAAGTCCTTACTTGCCATCAAGGTGACACATTAGGCTCTTTTTTACTGAGTGAATGGAACCTGGGGAACCTTGAAGATGGTGGCATCCATTTTTCCAAAAGACGTCACTGTTTTGTTTTATTTGACTTGTTGGGAAACTGCCTCTAAATGAAGCATCAAAGCAGGTGGTGCGGTGCTCAAGTACCCCTTTCACTTCTGTCTTAGCTGCAGTCCTTGTTTGCAGACTAGTAGCAACTTTTTGTTATAAAAATTAGGTTAACTCTAGAGCTAAATACATAAGAGCAGATAATATAGACGTGTCAAAACTTAGGCTGTTTATAATAGTGACTGTATTAATCTAATAATGAACGTGTGCCATTCACTTAGTATATTTTTTATAATGTACTGTGGTGGTATTCATAGCCGTTAATAAACTGGTATTTTGTTTTCTGAACTTTCAGGAACTACAAGACCGGGTTCAGGCTCTGGAGGGCTTTCGCAATGACATCTTCTTTGCTATTCAAGACATTCAGCAGACAATGCATCATCCTGCGAGACAACCACAGATAAAAGTTCCTCCTGACAGCGTCCCGGTCAGCAGTGCTTCAGGGGCCTCTGGTGAGGAGTGTGTGTCTCCAAGCAGCTCAAATTTCAAGTCATGGACCTTGAACCCAAAGCCTAGGCGACACAAAGACACGGTTTTGACTTCGGCTTGTGCTAGGACCAAAGTAAAGGACGGCAGTGCCTGCGAGCTCAGCAGCCGGAGTGCACTCAAGCCTCCAGCCACTAGTCTTTCATCACAGGTTGCCTCAACGTCAACCAAGGGGGACACCACGTCCACCATCTTGGAGAGCGACAAACAGGACAGTGGCCTCGACTCAGATTGTCGAGAGCATGGCTCACAGGAATCGATCCTTGCGCCCAAGGACGAACTCTTACTGCTTCTGGAAATGATTGGCGAGCGCGGAGTGCAACTTCAAGAGAAGGTTCAAGAGATGGAACAGGCACAGGCGAGCATGGGGCAAGGCAGGGACTGTGCCCCAAGGAGCCACAGCGAGCTGCTCGAGTTCCACGGAAAGGAGCTCCAGGCACGACTCAGCGAGATGGAAGTTGAGCGTGCTAACTATAGGACAATGGTGCGTCAGCTGCAGTCAACAATTCACAGGCTGGAAGGTGAGAAGATGGCCTGCGAACACAAGCTGCAGGCCACTCTCATAGAGAAGAAGCAGCTGGAAAAGAAAGTCCACAGCCTGCATTTGCAATACGTTCGGGGAGAACCGAGCTCTGTGCCCTTTTTGAAGGCAGAGAGCTGGCCCACGGCCCATTCTCAAGATGCACAAAGCCTAGGTGGTCTGGAAAGGTTGAGAAGGGAAGTGAAGGGCATCAAGTCAGAAGAAGGCAAGGCAAAAGTGTCGACGATTTTGAGAGAGTCTAACCCCATCGAGCTGAAGAAACTGTTGTTATTGTACACACTCGAGAACCAGGCTCTCCAGGAGAAGGCCGAAGAGAAAGAGCAGAAATGGTATAATAATCTGTCTGAGTGGAAAACTACAGAAGCTTCCCTCCGAACAGACATTCAGAACTTGATCCAGGAGCGTGACGAGTGTGTCGAGGCCCTCAGAAGACATCAGACGGAAGTGAGGACGCTGCAGGCCAAATACAAAGTGCTGGAGATGACGGTACTGGCATTCAACAACTTGGAGCGTAGCGACGACCGCCATGGGGAGCAGTGTTGTGCTAGTCCATTGCCGTACGGTCCTAACCAAAGGCTAGCACGGTCGTACCATTCGGAGCTTGCCTACGGAGAGCCATGCTACAGGACACAAAGCCTTCCGCCTGTCCTGCTTACGCAAGCCGAGAATGGACCGTTGCTTCGGTGTCAAAATGCGACTGCGCTCCACTGCGCCGGCAGCTCTTTGACAGAAAACTCTTTCGAAGAAGCTGCCTTCAACAATGAAGGAATGGCATATGAACTGGAGGATCAAGTGCACGAACGGCCTCTTGCATTCACAGATTCTCCACTGTCCTCGCCTAAGAAGTTGTTCCGTCCGTTGTGGCAGCATCGGCACACGGGACCTTCGGGAACTGTGAGTGACGCCGTCCGGCTGATGAACCTCGACGAAGAGCACAGGGAGCTCAAGTCAGGACCGCAGTCAGACATTGATATGATCTGCAGCGAGTTTGATCCTCTTGTGAAAGTGGAAACTCCTCCAGCAAGGGATAGAGATCCTAACACCAAGCCATTGGACTTTGTGGACTCGCTCGACCTTTCCATTCCTTTGAAGCCAACAAAGACTGCGATGTTAAGTGCTACTAGGCCCGCTCGAGCCCGCCTTGAACTCAAGTACCTTCCGACACCCATTTACAGTGCACGGCCTGTGGTGAGCCAGAAGCACAGGACATTCTCCAAGTCTTCGGATTAGGTTGCCAATAGTTTGTTTTATGGGTGCACTATAGAGATTTGTAAAAAAAAAAAGAAATAGTAGTTGTTTTTACGGTCGTCCGGCGAAGCAAATTTGTAGCCTTTATTTTTTCCTTAAGAAGCAGCAGTCACCATCTTCAATATGGGAGTGCCAGAGTTCTTTTGGTGAATGTAAACATAGAAAGTGCAGCAAAGCAAGCTTTTAGTGCTCATGTAAATATGTATTATAATATGGTTTTCAGTTAGCAAAGCTTTAAGATCAAGAAAGTTAGGCGTCAAGTTGTGTTTTTTTGGATGCTCTTAAAATGAAATTGTTGAAGCATATTGCAGTTCTAAGATAGAAAAGCACACGTTTATAGAAGGATAGAGTATTTACAGATGTACCCCTCTAAATCTCGCCTCTTTTCAGGTCGAATGGGTTACTGCTCATCATATTTGTGTTTAGCAAATGCCATGATCATGATGCAACAATCGCACAAATTTAATTTAAAGTTTGAGGAGGCAGTCATTATAAGCCAGTGAAGAGGGATATTTTCCGTTATGCTGTATCCAACTCTGAATGGCCAAGCAATAGGAAATTAAACAAGCCCCTTCACATCAGTCACATTCTTTGTTTCATCACTCACTCAAATCAAACTTCTGGAATTATTGTTTTTAACAGTACAATCTTTCTCGGTGGCTATTTGTCTTTGAAGGTCCTAGTGACGAGAATGAAATGCACTGTCTTCGTTTTGTCAAATGAACCAAGATCGTGGTGATTACTCCAGCACCTCTTAAACCAGCTATTATTCCACTGAATTATCTTCGACCCCCAAATTTCAAAATGCTTGCTTCAATAGACCGATCTCGCCAACCAGTCTGGATACGCTACCGCTGCCGTGATGCATGGAAGGAACTTTAGTCTTTCTGCGCGTGCGAGAACATCGCTGCAGCTTTGTTGCACGTGCTGAGCACGAGACGGCTCAAGTCGTCTCGGGCACTGCCGCCTGCTTCCTGCGAACTAAAGTTATTGCGATGTCACGTATGTATCGATCGCCTGGTGAGATCGGTCTATTTGAAAACCCTTTGCAATGTTTCTACAGATGTGTTTGCAAGGTCGGTGTAATGACAGGCTGACTCAGTTGGTCAAAGAAAGCCAGAATGAAAGAAACTGTTCAACGGCATCGTTTTTACAAATTGAAAAGTATAAAAAAAAATCATTTTTATATGAATGTTTAAACAACGGAAAGGTTGTTTTTTTCTTTTGTAAGTTATGTGGCAGACGTTAAGACAATATAATTAGAGGAATTGTACATCAAGGGACCAATCGAGGTTGACATTCTGTGTAACACCAAAGATACTTTTATCCCGTTGCTCTAGGTTTTGATAAAGCCTTGATGACTGATTGCATCCGTTTTCTCCAAAATTGTAGTTCATGTGCTTTCTTTTTTTTTTTTTTTTTTTGTGGGGTGTGTGCATTAGTTGGTGTTCTTGATAGCTTTACAGCATGTGTTGCTTCATTTGTTCACATTTGCCTTGTAAAGAACAAAAAGAAATGGACATGATGCGTCATCCGAACGTAGGTAAAACAAGCTTTTACATTCTTTCAGCACCGTCTTATCTGGCTCCACCCCGACGTTCAAGTGCAATTCCAGCCAGAGGAACGAAGCAAAAAAATCCAGCTTTCAGAGTTGCAGTGCCTTGATCAAAACCATCCATGCAACGAGCTTTTCTGCGGAGTATATCATCATACATGACCACTTTTCAGAAAGTATGCGGTGGATCGTCTAGTGATACTACGTCATGCGCATCATGGAAAAATCGCACCTACCAAAGTCAGTTCCGCGAACTATGGCAGTTTGAGTGTACTTGTATATTTCCCATAATTGACTAAATAAATGCTGCCTCTTTGCTATTGTTTTAAATAAAGGTATATGTGATTACTTGATTCGGCGCCCATCTCCCTAAGTGTCTGGTTCTTCGTGCCTGGCTCCCTCAGCCATGGACACGCCACAGGTAAGACGGACACCAGGTACAGTCCAGGGAATGGGAATCGTGATGCTCCGGAATATAATTCTAGTTTCAAATTGGGTATGTGTGTATCATATGCTCACTGTCAGGATGAGAACTGCAGGGAGGTCTCGGTTGTCCCGCTTTCAGCGTGAGCTCTTTGGTAACACTCGGGCGTTGAGTGAGCTTTGAGCGCGCACGCGCAGTAAGAAACCAACACGTGCTGGAAGCCGGCCGTCTGAAGCAGACGCTCTGCCGTTTTCATTCTGTCAGTAGTGTATGTATCGCTCTATCATCCAGTAGATTGTTCCAAGTCCACAGTCCAGCACGCGTATGTTCGTTGCTTCGGAAACAGAAAGAGAGAGAGAAAAAACTTTTATTGGCGGAATATGAGAATTCCTTAGAGGGTGCGGTCCTCGTTGTGGCGGCGACCTCCTTAGCCCTTTCCACCAAGGCGCTTTGCACCTCTGGGTCGGAGCTTCGGAGCGAGGTCTCCCACTCATCATGGGATGGGATTGAAGGAAAAGGGTCTTGTGGTCAAGCCCATATTATGTGGGGCAGAGTGGCTTTGTCTCCACATAGGGTGCATTCCGAGGTGGGGTACATTGAGGGGAAGATGTGGGTGAGGATAGGGGGGTTAGGAAAAGTGCCCGTCTGGAGTTGGCGCCAACTATGGGCCTGCTCCAGAGTAAGGGACTTGTCGGCTGGCGGATAGACCTGACGGGAGAGGAGGTAGTGTGTGGTGATTTCATGGAAGCTGGATGGACGGTCCCTGGCGGATCTGGCCCCGTGATAGGGATGGAGGCTAGGACCTGCCCGGATAGTGTATCCTCGGGCTTGTTCATGGGCCGCCTCGTTTCCCTCGAGACCAGCGTGCGCGGGTGTCCAGACTAGTCTGACGGGGGTCTGGGGCGGGTTTCTGTGAAGAATTTTGAGCGCTGGCTTGGAAATGCGGCCAGCTGCGAAATTTTGAAGGGCGGTTTTAGAATCCGTGATGATCACTGGGGGCGGCGGGGGGGGGGGGGGGGGGCGTCACTGTGAAGACGAGGGCTATGGCTACTTCTCCGCCGTTTTGGGTCAGTGGTCAGGACGGTGACAGCGTCGATGGGGGAGTGTAAGTTGTCAGTCACCGCCGCCGTGAAAGCCCCATGGTGCCTGTATTCTGCCGCGTCGACATATAGGACACCCGGGTTATCCCCGTAGGTTCTTTGCAGGGAAATAGCGCGTTGTCTCCTGCGAGCAAGGTTGTGGGTGGGGTGGACGTTTCGAGGTAGCGGATTTGCTATAATTTTGTTGTGGATGTTGGGCCTGATGGGGGATTTGTCTTGGTGGAGCTTGTAACATCCAATGTTTAGGCTGGCGAGTATGTGCCTACCAGTGGGGGTGCGGGAGAGTCTAGTCAGTTGGGCAGCACGATGTGCTTCTGTTAGTTCGTCCAGGTGATTATGCAAACCAAGTCCTTCCAGTTTGGCAGTTGGAGTGCTAGGCGGTAGGCGCAGTGCTATTTTGTAGGCCTTGCGGATCAAGGTATTAACCTTATTGGTGAAGGTCGGCGTGAGGCGTAGCTATGGGGCCGAGTATGTTAGCCGGCTTAGGACGAATGCCTGTAGGATGCGTATGCGATCCTGTTCGTTGAGGCCTTTATGTTTATTTGTCACCCTTTTCAGTAGGCCTATTGTTTGATTAATCTGACTTTCTATTCGCTCAAGGAATTTGTTATTGAGCCTATTCGCCTGGATCTGCAGTCCCAAGATTTTGAGCTCCTAGACCACTGGGATTGGCCTGCCATTGATGTGTAGTTCGATGTCAGCGTTGTTTTGTTTCCTAGTGCTGGGAGGCCGAAGTAGTATTAGTTCCGATTTCGCCGGAGAACAAGCGAGACCTGCTCTCTCTGCTTCCTCCGCTACTATGTCAAACCCTTGTTGTAGTGTTTCTTCTATATGGGCGTCACTCCCTCTGCCGATCCAGAGGGTGATGTCGTCCGCATAAAGACTGTGTCGGAGTTGGGGAATTTGGCCTAGCCTTTTGGGGATGTTGATGACTGCCAGATTAATAGAAAATGGGCGAAAGCACAGCCCCTTGCGGGGTTCCCCTGCTGCCAATTGGGTAGTGTCTGACGTGAGGTCGCCAACGCTGATTACGGCAGTTCTCCCGAAAAGGAAAGCTTTGATGTAGTTGTACGTCCTCTCTCTCCGGGGTTTACTGACCCCAGACCCCCCAGGATGGATTCATGGGTGACATTGTCGAATGCCTTTGTGAGGTCTAGGGCCAGGATGGCTGCCGTGTCGAGGTTACCTGTGGATTTGATAATTTGTTCAGAGAGCTGTAATAATATGTCCTGCGTGGATAGCCCAGCCCTGAAGCCAACCATGGTGTGCGGGAACAGGTCTGCGTCATTCACGTGGTTGGTCAGCCTATCTAGGATTATGTGTTCCATTAGTTTACCCAAGCAGGATGTTAGAGAAATAGGTCTTAGGTGTTCTAGGGTGAGGGGTTTCCCTGGCTTGGGGATTAAAATAACTTTTGCGTGTTTCCACGACTCGGAATCTTCCCCTCTCTCCAACATGTCTTGATGTAGTCGGTGATGTCTGTAATGGATGAGTCATCAAGGTTGCAGAGGGTGCGGTTGGTTATTCCGTCCGGTTTTGGCGCCGAGTTGGGTTTGAGTTTGGATATTGCCAACCTCACCTCCGCCTCTGCGATTTCTCGGTCCATGTTGGTGTTTTGCTGCCCAGGGTACGGAGGGAGTGCATTTTGGGGCCCGGTCGGTAGGTATTTTTGGGTAGCTTGATCGAGCAAATCTTGATCCGAGCCTGGGAAATTTTGTACAAGTTTAGTCATGCGATTCTTTTGTTTCGATTTGCCTTGATCCGGATCAAGGAGGTGTCGTAAGAGGATCCAGGTCTTTTTCAGCCCAAGGTTACCGCGCATTTGATCGCAGATCTGTCCCCATTGGTCTTGCACCAGGGAACTCGCGTGTGAGCTGATTTGTCTCTCCAACTGGGACAGTTTGGTTTTCAGTTTACGGTTGTGTTTGTTCTTTCTTCCTCCACCTTTTTAGAATGCTACTGTAGGCTTCCCATAGATGTTGTAGGTGGGAGTCTACCGTTTCCGATGGAATACTCGGGTCTAGCTCTTTGGTGGCTCCTCTGACATCCCTCAGCAGCTGATTAGTCCACTGAATGATATCGTCGATCTGTTCGTGTCTGCTTCTGTTTTCTGTTTCGTTGGACTCTCTGACTGCTCTGAAGCTTTCCCATTCAACCAGGGTGCTTTGCCTGAGGGTGCGAGTAAGCCTCATGTTGGGGGAGAGTGTTGTGCTTATGATGAGATGATCACTGCCTAGGCTGTGTTCAGTGACCGTGCTCGTGAGCCGGTTGATGCGTGATGAGAGGGTGAGATCTGGTGTTGTGTCTCTTTGAACACTGTTGCCTATGCGTGTGGGTGCTGTTGGATTGGTCTCTAATGTGAGGTGATGTGATTGTATCTGTAGCCAGAGGTCTCTGCCCTTGGGACTGCAGTTCTAATAGCCCCACGCGGTGTGCGCGGCATTAAAGTCTCCAACTATTAGGAGAGCGTGTGGGCCCGCTTCTTTTCTTGCGAGCGAGAATAGCTGGTTGAATCGGTGTGTCCTACCCTGCTTATTTGGTGAGCTGTATACGTTTAAGACACATACCTTAGTCCCACCTCGCTTCGGGGGATAGACTGTTACTAAATCATGAGGGATGTCTAAGCTGTCGAATTGGTGCCGCGACGCGGGGATGTTTCTGTGCACCAGGACGGCGGTCTTGCCATTTTCTTTCCCTTGGTAAGCTTTATACCCCGGTAACTTGACCTGAGTTTCCACTTCCTGGAGTGCGATTATATCCGGGGGAGTTTCGGCGTTTTGTACTAAAATCTGCAGATTCGCTCGTTTCCGTTTGTAACCTCTGCAGTTCCACTGCCGAACTGTGACTCCTTTGTGATTAGTATGTGCCATGGTGCGGTTGTTAGTGCGGGGTCCGCCGTGTAGGTGGTTGTATACGTTGGGCTGGGGTGCGTGAGTTCATGCTGGGGAACTCCAGGGGAGGCGTTCCTTGATCTGGAGCCGCGTATCGCATCCCTGTACGCCTTTGCCACTCTGCTTTCAAATTCTTTTAGGAGGCCACTAAGCGAACTTTGCATCGCGGTTTGTATCGCGTTGGCAATTTTGTTGTCAATGTTTGCCTCCAGGTTAACGCATCCTTCCCTGATCAAGAAGATGTCCTGCTCCATCTTGGAGTATTTGCTGTCGGGCTCCCCGTTGGATCGAGAGGTGTCAGGAATAGTGTCTTCATCTTGTCGCGGCCCTCTTTTTTGAGGCTGGGGGCACGACGGGGGATTGTGTGTGCATGCTAGCCTTAAGGTTCTAATTTTCTTGTCTCATTGCCTGTATCTCGTGTCTAGAGGCCTTAAGTTCTCTAAGGAGGTTTTGATTCTCTCTCTGAAGCGCCGCCTTCTCAGCTCTGAACTTAGCGAGCTCTGCCGCTATCTCTTGTGGGATTTGGGATGGGGGTGGTGCGTGGGGCGAGTGGGTATGGGAGGGTTGAGAGTGGGTTGACCTCTACCCCGAAGCTTACCATTTTAGAGGTGTCCCGCGCCTTGGGACGGTGCCTGGAGCTCGGTCTCCTAGTGTTTCTTGCCGGTACAAGGCATGGGCCATATGCATGGGTGCTTAGTAGTCGCCGAGTGTGACTGGTTTGCCCTGATAGTGAGGGGTTTTCGATATGTGTCTCAATGCATTGTAGTGTCGATTAATACAGACTAAGCGAAACTTTAACCTTGTTGCGATGTCCTTCGTTTATGCCGACATTCAGTATACCGGGTGTTTTTGCGAAGACTTTCAGAAATCCTAAAAATTAGGGCGTTTGAAAAAAGAAGAAACTCTTCGGGAACAAACTAGTACCAGCCACGGCGGAC